TAGGGCACCTGAATGTTCTCATATTCCTGTAGCTCTACTGCATCAGTCCTGATTAACTGCTGCATTTGCATAGGTTAAGAGTCAGTTGCTTACAATTATGGGGATGAAACATTTTTAGTTGATGCTTTGTGTATGTAAGGTGTTTTTAAATGCAAATGCTAATAAAAGTCGTAAGAAGTTTTACTATTTACCTATTTTTTACATCTTTATTTTTCTAAATAAAATCCTCCATATAGTCCACGCTTTGACTACCCAAAATGAACTGATACTGCCTTGTAAAAGATGCAGTACGACCACAGATGGAGGGGGGGTCGAAGAACTCACAAAAGGCAACAGTAAACATGTTGTCACCAATGCATGATACATCCTGTTTTGACTTGTGTTTATAGCACTGCTTTGCCTAATCGCTTCAATTTCGTGGATGTCAGAATTCTGCGGTGAGACACATCAGTCTCCCAAATTTGATCAAATTCCAATTGTTGGGGAGACATTGCACTATGAGCCGACCAATGATTGGACAGGCAGAGACCGTGGGAGATAATAAAGCAGAAAGGAACAGAAGCGCTGATGCTGCGTGAGCGTACACAAGAGCTTGGAGGGCACTGAGCACAATAGATAATGTGAAGACACTGTGTCTGACAGGGAGGTGCCGCTTTTCAAGCTGTTTGAGGAAAACATAGTTTTTCTAAGCATCACATCCCAAACAACAGCACCCTCACAAACAAAAAAAAATAAACAATACAGTTAAAATAATAAAGGGGGGGAAAAAAACAATCTTCTCAAATCTCAAACCAAACACGGTGCAGTCTAAAAAATGTGTTGCTCAGATTGGTTGTGAGCCTTTTTCATGCTTATTTCTGTTTATGTTGATAGCTGAAGAAAAATAAATGTTATTGTTCAAACTGCACATACAAACACACATCCAACACACACCCGGCACCTCTCACATACAAAACACACAACACAGATAAACACACACAAACCCTGTTCAAGTTTAATATACAATGCAGAATCGAAAGTAGTACCAACTGAAAATCTGAATGAATCTCAGAGAAAAAGAGTCAGAGTGCAACAAGGATGAAGACCCCTACTAGTAAAGACAGATTTTAAAAATCTACCAGTAATAGAAAGGGTTATATTGTCAGCTGTTCTGACTGCATGCCCTGATGTCCTCTTATGTGCTCTGGAGAGAATTAAAAGGCATTTTATGAGAAAAGTGGGGGGAAGGTTATATAGCGGGGGTGGGGGTGGGGGGTGGCAGGTGAGGAAAACTGAGCAAAACCTTATCAGAGTTTTCCCACAGAAATAGAAATAGTCTTTCGCAAGACACACACACACACACACACACACACACATGCCATTATCAGTGTTATTGTGAGGAGATGTTATTAACGGAATTATTATTAAAGAACTCCCGAGCTCTAATGTGAAGGACGGGGCAAGGAAAAGCTGTGTGTGGGTGCATTGGAGTGTGTGTGTGTGTATATATATATATATATATATATATATCCCTAGAAGTCAGCTTCTGCAGCAAAATACTGTGGATTTGCATACTGTAAGTGTACATGCGCGCACAACCATTTTTGTGCATGTGCATGTGCATGTGTGTGTGCGTGAGCATTGACGTCTGTGTGTATTATTCTGATACACAAAGCCTACTCTGCTCATGAATTGTCTAATGTCAATTAAAATGGAATCTTTTCAGACCTGACTGAAGAGAAGAGTAATGTTTGATTAAGTGTTTTAGGACATTTTATAGAAATTAGTCTATATATTTGAGACAGATGTAAAGGATACATTTTCAGTAGGAACTAATAGGGCTTGGGTAATGCTACAGACAGGCTGGGGGAGTCAGAAAATGTAGAGAGACGCTGTGCTGTATAGATGATTAATTTTTTTCCTGGGATTTGATCATAATAACAAAAATATAGATTATAGCCAGACTTCTTATCCTTCAAGCAAACTGTAATCTTCTTTCTTGTTATACTTGAATGTTGTTGATACCTTTTCCGGACAAAACATCTTTGTACAGGAATGTAAACCACACAATGTATCTGAATTTGAAGTGAAGGAGAGAAGAGGAAAAACAGAAAACAGAAGAGAACGTATGCAGATATTGTAGCAAGTAGAGTAGTGAAAAAAAGGAAAATAAAAGAAAGAAGATTACACATCAAATCCCTCTGCAGTGGACCTCACTGTGAAGCTGATGATACACAGCCGACATACTGAGGCGATGCAGAGCTGTAATTATGCTTTCAGCAGGGACTGGAGTTGGTTAGAGGCAGAGATCCTGCTCATATTACAGCAGCTCATTTTGTTATAAATGATTGATTTAATGAATCTCAACCTCTCTCACTTCCTTTTTTCTTTCTATCTATCTATCTATCTATCTATCTATCTATCTATCTATCTATCTATCTATCTATCTATCTATCTATCTATCTATCTATCTATCTATCTATCTATCTTTGAGAGATGTATATCCCAAAATGAATATGGAATCAGCTCACAGACCTCACAGCCAATGTTTGAATCATTCAATATTCAATATGCCTAGAAGCTAGATCATCTCTTTCTCTCTTTTTCCATCTCCTACTCTCCACTCTCCTTCTCCTTTTCGTATTGTCTATCTCCATGCTTCTCTCTCTTTTCCTCTGTGCACACTTATAGACTATCAAACTTCACAGCTGTCAACATGAGCCACATTCATAATTTAAGGTACACAGAAAGTAGATAATATTTAGATCTATCCATCTATCTATCCACCTATCCATCTATCCATCTATCTGAAATCTAAACAAGCACATCTCAATCAACCCACATGAAGACATGACAACAACGCTGCTCTCTTACACACAGTCAAACCCTCTGTCAACGGTGGAGGTAACTCATACATAAACATGACTTACAATAAACAGAAATGATGTTTGCGAGACGTTTAAACAGAGAGACAGGCAGGTTGACAGACAGAAAGACGGACGGGGCTAGACGGTGCATACAGAGAAGATACCAAAGTGTGACGTTAAAAATAGAAAAATTGCAAAGATGTGCAGGATCTTCCGTCTGATGCGTTTGTCCCCTTTTTAGCATACATAGAATGGAATGTCCATGAATTGTTGCATTTGCAGTTGTTGGGTTTTTATTTTTACATTCCTTTTATTTGTTATGCCTTTTGTTCATTTGATGGATTTTTCTCTTTTGCCTTGAACAGGTTCATAATTATGTGCAGCTGCATGTGTCTGTGTGTTGACCTCTCCAGTAGACACCAGGGTGTTTAATATTCTAGTCTGACACTGACTTTCTGTGGCCAATCATCACACACAGTTGTACACTCACAACACACACACATACACACACGCACACTCACTCCACACACACACACACACACACACACACACACACACACACACACATAGTACATTTAAATGACTCCCCGCTGCCAAATAATTTCACTGCAGGCTCTTAAGCAGAGTTAATCAACTCTAATCAATGTTCATATTATAAACACAAAGATAACTTGATAATGCTAAACATAATATAGACCAAAGATTAGTAGGCTTGTCTTCTGACAGATGACACCGCTGCATCGATGAAGTTTGTCAAAGTTCCTGACCCATAGGAGGGTTATGGGAAGATTAAAATAGGTTCTCAAATTATTTCTGTGACGTGTGTGTTGGTGAGAAATGAGCCTCTGCTTAAGTTGCCAATACTATTTTAGATCTTTGCCATGAAACAGCAGTTCAGTTAATGAGCTGTTGGTATTGTAAATAGTGATAGTACAGTATGCTGTAAACATTATGCCCTAGAGCATACACATAATTTGCTCTAATATTAATATTGCCATTTGAACCTTAATAGTAGTATGGCAAATTTTGGTCCTAAGGGTAATGCTAGAGGAAAGGTGATGAGGTCAATAAAATCAACATCATGATGTAAATCATTTGTCTTGACATTTTGACCTGGCAGCAGCTCAAGAGGAAAGCTCAAATATTGTTCAAAATGCTCCGCAAATTTCAATTTTAATATTAGTTTGATATTTATTGTCTGGAAAGAGAAATCCTGGCTTGATGTTAGTCTTAAAAGAAAAGGTCAGTGGGTCACGAACACGAGTGTGTGTGTGTGTGTGTGTGTATATATATATATATATATATATCCCTATAAGTCAGCTTCTGCAGCAAAATACTGTGGATTTGCATACTGTAAGTGTACATGCGTGCACAACCATTTTTGTGCATGTGCATGTGCGTGAGTATTGACAATTTAAAATTTACAATACAATTTATCCTCTGAAGGCCATGAATGTTCACAGCATGATTTAATTTTCAATTTACCTTTATCATGCAGAACTTCTCACCTTAGTGTGGCACCAGATGAATGGTCACAGGGTCACAAAAACCATATGGAATCATTCACTGGGAACTTGCATAAATACCAATACAAAACTTCACGGCTCTCTGACCAGCTCAAAATCTCTTATATGGAGCAGTGTCGTACTTACAGACAGAATCAAATCATGTGATTAAGGCTAATTCACAAGTTTATATTCAGAGCCGGTTTCATTTCTAGAGTATGCATTTAATAATCTAAGTGATGAGTAAATGTTCTGATACTTGCATCAGGAAAAAAAGCAAGCTCATAAAAATAGCAGAAGCAGGCAGTCGAAAGTGAAGAACAGATGTGAATAGAAAAATACATGATGGCCGTGGAGCTCCTGGCTACATTCAGAGAGCACAGCAGGAGGGATGTTCGCAGGATTCACTTTTTTCTATTGCAAATCTTTTCTGAAATAATTCACCTGACATGGTATGAAAGCTCTGCGTGCGAGTTTGTCTCAGATTAGAACCCACTCTTCGAACAGATTATGAGGGGGGGATTTATTGCTTGCAAGGCCACAGCTTGTCTGTATTGTTGACAGAGGATTCATAGAGCAGAGGCCTTTTTTTCTTGTGTCTTTTTCACAATAACTCACTGATGAGTCAAGCACCAATTGTCCATTTCCGTATGTTTGTTATTACTTTTATTAATTATTATCATCGTCATCATCATCAACATTATTCTTCAAGTTTAGCTGTGTAACAAACTTTTTCTTGGCTGTCAAAATATGTTGTTGAAATATCATTTTTGCATGAAATAAAACCTAAAAACAATAACATACAGAAAGGTAGCAGAATAAAATACAACATGAGAAAGAAAAAAAAAACTAAAAAAAAACAAATTTTTCTATAAAAGCCATTCAACTGAACAGAGACAAAATTATACTAAAATATATTGGTTAAATGTACATAGTTGATGTGTGTGTTTGTGTGTGCATGCATGTGTGTGTGTGTGTGTGTCTGACCATTAATAAACTGGCCTTTAGCTCCCTTGTCTCCCATGGTTAACACTGTACATTCCAAAATGTACACTCAATCCGTACCAATGCCGGTGTGTGTCTTTGTATGTGTACGTGTGTGTGTTGTCCCTTCCTTGGCAATAAGAACATAATAAATGGAGTGCAAGCAACAGCATCATTTTCTATAACACATTCTGACAAAGACAAAAATTAAAACACTTGTTAAGGCTCCCCAATGTAAACGCTGATGTGAAATGCCATCAAACCTAAAACATACACTCATTATTGAAGTAAAACAAGGTCAAGTCATGCGTGTCCTGCAGAACCTCATTTCTTACCAAAATCGCCTATTTTGAACCATAAAAATCCTATCAACATTAATATCTATATATGTTTTTGATATACAGTATCCTTACATGAGTCATGAGAGACAATGTTAAGCTGGTAAATACACAAAAGAAGATATTTGGATAGGAAAGGGTTCTGCAGAGCACTTACAATATGAAAGGTGTGCATAAGCAAAGTTTTCTTTATTATAAATCCTGTGTTCTTTTTACTTTAAGCTCAGTAAGTACAGGGGAAAAGATTTTCTTTCAAAAGCTAAACTACTGAAATATTAATAAATATGATTTTGGCATCAGAATTTGTCTCCAGCTCACTGAGAAATCCTTGTGGTTCATCAAGATGAAGATATACACCCAGATTTAACAAAAAAGTAAACTATTTGATCCTTTCTTTCTCTCCCTTTCTCCCACTGTTTCGTTGAAATCCCAAGATATTTTTTACCGAAGGATTTCACATTTTTTATAAGAATAAAATTCAGATTGTATTTTTATCAAATGTGAGTCCCGTTGGATATAAATGAATAAACCTAAATCCACACTTTGATTTTTAGCAAGTACTTGAAATATTACAGCTGGTAACAATTTCTTTCAACAAATCCAAGGCCTGTTCAAGTAGGACAGAAATGTAACCAAAACAAATTCAACATAAGCAGTTACTGTCAGTTCTGGGGTAACTGAGTCGACGTCAGCTTTTTGGGCGCAACACAGTATGACACAATTACCCATCTCCCATTCAAAACCCCCTCGATGTGTGTACCAACTGAGAATACCTCTATCAAAAGAACTGATGCAAGAAAGTGGAGGAATACAGAAGAGATGAGTGGTAGAGGGCAGTAGTAACAGGTGGAGGGATACAAATACAGATAGATGGAGGTATATGTCAAATTAGACAACAGATGAGAAAGATACAAGTGATTAAAAAAACAGAAGAGAGGGGATGAATGGATGCATAAACTGAACCTCTTTTTATCAGCAACTACAAGCGTCATTTGATCCCATTCTCCCTCTATTCATCCACCTTCTCCCCATATATTCTTCAAAGGCACCCATCTAGCCATCTCAGCAGGTATCCCTCAGTTCTTTCGTTTGTTCTGTCTTTTTAACAAAGCATTGCCTCATCCTTTGCTCTCTTTTTTTTTTTGCTACATTTGCAAATGTAAACAGTTGTTATTATGCTGCAGCCCCTTTAAGAGTTGCCCATAACTAAAATGTAAATTCTAAAAACTTTAACACATTAGCACAAGAAATTTCCTAGAATTAGGACAATTCAAAAGTATTGTTTTTGTGAATTGGCTTCATCAGTCCTTATACAGCATGATGGAACACATTCGACAAATAAAGGGCAAACTTCAGAACAAAAGTATTTTCAAGCCATGTCACTAATGCAGTTCAAAAGCTTTCATGTGACAGGTAGGGTATGGATAGCCATACACGGTAAAGGTGTTAAGCAAACTCTTTAAAAAACAAAAATTCCTACACAGTGGGATGTATGTTAGACACTACGGTGGCACATTTGATTGTGTGCCATCCCAAATAGTTCGACTGCAGCAGTGACAAGTCTTTTCAGCCATGACTGTGACAAGCCCGACTTCCAACTCCAATGTAAATATGTTGCATCAATAGTTTGAATGGTTTCTTAGTGTTTTAATGTGACATATTCAGTACTGTGTGCAGTGCTGGTTATACAGGGTTGTTTCTTTTTGGCTAGATGCAAATGCAATATACTTTGAGCATTTCAACAGAAACTGAGAATGGTTTATATACGTCATGATCAATTATTCAAAAGATTGGAAAATCCAAATTCCTACTATACTCAACATACAGAGTATACAAGCTCTTCCTATGTAAAGTAATACCTTAAGGTTTAACATAAATACTAGAGGTGTTAACCTGCAACCAGCACTCCACAACACACTGATTGCTCTGGTGAATAGTAGTTTTATAGTTTGTTGCCTTGCTGTCTTAACATTTCTGCAAGAAAGAAATCTCATCTAACTGCTAGTTGACATAACCCCTAGAAAATGTATTAATACATATCAACGATAAACTCCTTTTGAAAACACCTTTGCCATGATATGGGCACTGATGACATAACTGCATGCCTTAATTCAGCTTACATCGCCAAATAAACCGATACAGAGTAGACAACATCTTGGTATTAAGTCTTTCATACAAAATTATGGAAGAATATGCCTCAACATTTCTACAAAGTCGTGTATATACATGCAAAATGAAAGATGATTAACTAGTGATTGACAGTTTACAGAGCAACCAATTAAATTTTTTAAAAGCACATATGGGTCTTTCTAATGGGCTGAAAATGCCAAGAGTGAATGGGTATCTGGACCATCAGACAGCTAGGCTGCAATCAAGTCTTATTACGGATGACTGGTGAGATGGTGCATGGGAATTAATAGAGAAGTCTGTTTGCCCAACTTCTGCCTGACATGACTCATAACATACATAACTTTTGAACACAGATAAACATACCTTTTAGAAAAACTGTACAAGTTACCAGGCACTAGGCGGAATATTTTTCATTCATGTCTTTTGGATAAGCATAGAAAAATATCTTTTTCTCACTCTCTCTTCCTTCCTTTCTATATATTTTCTTTCAGCCTATTATTATTTCCTTCAAAGAAGTCCCTTGGTGTTTTTTGTTTTGTTTTGTTTTTCTAGCAACTAAGGCAGCACGGTTGGAGAAGTGACTGTCTTTATAAAAATAAACAAGATGGCCACCGTGTTGCTCCATTCTGACGCATAGGGAGACTCATAGACCTGACTGTCAACACGCTGTCAATGATGAAAATAAATGATAAGAACTGTAAAATCTGGTTTAAAGAGAGACTCAGTTATGGTATTTGGTGGGTCTTTTCCTTAAGTGTGTTTAAAAGACTTATTTAGAAACCCAAAGTGGGCAATGAATTGTAGAGAAGAGGGATGAGTTAGTTGGAGTTGAAAGCAACTTAATCATTTTACTTCATTGAATTATAAACTGTAACTTTACAATGTCATCTTGTGTTTTTTCAGTACTATTTAGGTCTAACATGTAACAGTTCCCATCCATAGAAAAAGGCAACTTATTTTTGTAGATTTTATAAGACACTAACATGCTACATAGAGGTAACCTAACAAACACAAATATGAGATAGGCTGAATAAAACACTGTAGGCAAGAAGCTCTGTAGACTCAAAAGTTTACAGTTATCCCAAATAATTGATCCTCATGATAAAATTTAGAGTTTATCTCCCTAAGTCTCTCTATAAAACCATGTAACCTAACAACATGTGAAAGACACACAGAAAAAAGTTACACACTAAGACCATTTTGACCTATTAACACATAAAGAACATGATAAGCACATATATAAGAGAACATAAGAGAACATTATGTAACATGCTAAAACCATTAGACCATTAACATGTAAAAATGATGTGTCACATGCTATGAAACAGGTGGGTTGGTGTGCAACACGTGTGACCCCTGAGGACTGAAATACCGAGCGCAAGCCTTCATTATTTTACATCATCGTTTGGGGACGGACACATCCTTTGATCCTTACACATATAAACGCAATTACACAAATGCACACATACACACAACCCCCTCTTTTGCTGTACCATTTCTGTTAGACGGCTGTTATCAATGTAACAAGTCTCCATAGGAACACAAACAACAAACAGCTCAAAAAAGGAAAAACTCAAATAAACTAATTTTTATAGTACCATTTCCTGCAAAAAAGCATTATTTGTCTTTACAAAATAACATATTATATATAGGAAAGTGTAGCAAATTGCATGTTTTGTACTATAACATCATCATAATTATTATTACCATTATTATTATTAATATAAATGTTAAGCAGGTTAATAGATGGTTGTTCTATTAGGCAGGCAGCCAGGCACGTAGCTAGTATCATGGCACGGAGGAAGGTAGAAAATAAAGTCAGGTTCGATCCAAATGGATGAAGAGAACACTTCGGTCCGGAATTACTCCGGTTTAACCAGTTGAAACTGGTTTTAAGCAGTTCAAAAAGTCACAGTCAAATCGAACCCAACCAGTCTCCCATTTTCGGGCACTTTGCAGCGGTGAAGATTTTGCATTGACAGTTTCAGAGACAACAGGGCACAAGTGAAAGAAACCAACTGATCCTTTTGTACCAAGGTAACACAGGCTTAACTGGAACAAACTGGTTTAACTCTGACCAGTTTCAAAGAGTCAAAATAAGTTTGGTGTTGGATCCATTTGCACAGCGGTGAAAGTCAAAAACATGCTGTGGACCAGAACAAATAGTTCTAACCAGATCAGATCTGGTTGTACCAAGATAAAATAGTTTGAATGATGCATCAGACTAGTCTGGACCAGCTCTGGGTTTAGTTTAGCATGGTGCATAACAGACCAGCTCAGTTGAGTTCAGTTAAAGTGTTTTGCTTCTAGCTTTTTTTTTTTTTTTTGCTCTGCTGTATGGCGGCTGTGCAAGTTCTGAGCTCCTCAAACTCATCCTAAATGAGACCAGTCCAACTTTCATTCGAGTTTCCAATCCTCTTATTTGGAAAGCACATGAAGTGGCTGTTTATTAAAGGTGATTTCAGCTGCATGCCCGGACTCTGTTGTTGAATACTTGCCACAGAGCTGTCAAGTGACCGTCACTCAACACAGGATTCAGGCCATTCCTCCAAACTGTCCCTGCAGCAGTTCAGCGGAATCCTACAATGATTTTTGACCATTTTGACAGCCGAGTGCTTCCAGCATAAGGATGTGTTCCATTTAGTGCCCAGGATAGGCCCATTTTGACATGAGCTAGCCTCCAGGAACGTGGAGACATACAGCTTATTCATCCAATAAAACGCATTCTTGTTGGTGTGAGTCAAAGGCATCGGATTAATTACTCTCTGCGTTCTCATCTAAGTTTTTAGATTCAGCAACAGCTGTGACCTCTGTGTCTTTTGTGATATCATCACTACTATTGGACACCATCTTGTCTCCCGTTTCCTGGTCTGTTATGTCAGGACCTTCTCCTTTTAACTCCTTTTCAACTCCTGTTTCATTGTCAGTGGCATCATTGCCTGTAATTTCTTTTGCTTGGTTGTCATGACAAACTCCTATAACATCATTGCTTTCATCGGTGATCTCACTGTGACCATCTTTTTCCTCTGGTGTCGCATTATGACACTCGCGCTCTGTGACGTTCTGAATTATGTCGTCTTGCATGTGACTCCTGTTTTGTGACTTTTTGTCTGTGTACCTGTGTAAGCCCCTCTGTATGTGTGTGGTGAAATCATAGCGGTCCACACACACGTGTAGGCAAAAACTGCATTGGTATGGTCCCTGGTCACCGTGGCAACTCATGTGCAGGGCATACATGACCTCGTCTAGGAAGTAGATCCCACAGTGGATGCAACGGTTGGTCAGGTCATCCTGTGTGGCCACTTCCACCATTGCGCGATTCGATGGGACACTTGACCGACTTTTTGTTAAATTATCCTTTTCTTCCTTTCCAACCTCCTCCCTCTGGTTCCCTCCTTCATCTGTCCTCTCCTCCTCCTCTTTCTCTCCCTTCCAGCTCTCTCTCAGCCTCTCAGCTAGTGGCGACTCTTGCCGTCTCCTCTCTGCACCGTTTGTTGACATGTGTGCATTTGCAACACTTGTATCTCTTTGTCTTATTGCAAGATCCAAAGGAACATCGTTTTCTAATGATGATGATGATGAGGTTTGGGAATGAAGAGGAGGAGGAGGATAGTGAGGAGGAGCTGGAGGAGGGGGAAGAGGAGAGTAGGGAGAGGCGCAGTAAGGCACCGTGTAGCTTTGCTGATGATGCTGTACTGGAGTCACCATTGCACCAAGATAATGAGCGTTATTTCCAAGGCTACCAGGGCTGCTTAGATTACTGATGCTACCAGGAACCCCAGAGGCAGCTGCCATCTTATACTTGGTCCAGAATCTGAGCCAATCCGACTCAGGGGTCAAATCAGGTGAGAGGGTTAATGGTAGGGGTAAGGAGAAAAGAGGATACTGATACTTTTCAATGGGTGAACCAGGAGGCGAATAACTAGATGGTTTTGATGGACGCATGTACTTTTCAATCGGACTGCCTCGCTCTGATCCCCCTCCTCCCTTACCTCCCTCTACTTTTGATATTATCCCTCCCTCAGAGATGCCCCCATTACCCTCTGCTACCAACGAGGAAGGGGGATGTGAAGGGAGGAGCAGAGGAGGCATGCGTCGGTGGATCTCCAATGTTTGATTGGCTAGGAAGGCTTGAGTGGATCTGGGTGAGCGCGAGCGAGGGGAAGGCTGCTGGTTTTTGATTGATGCACAGCTTCTGTCTGACTCCTCCCCATTCATACGCTCCTCGCTGGTGATGCGTTGTTGCTTGGGGGCAGGGGGTTCAGATGACAGCGAATCAGGGTTGAGGCGTTTTCGGGTTCGACGTCGGATAATTTGCTCACCGTTGTTCTGCTTTATGATGTTTAGAGGTCTGGGTGTCTACAAGATAAAGGAAACAAAGGATATGGAAAAAAGTGAAGGGTTAGTCAACATTTAGTAATAAATGCAATGATCATTTTCTGTTTTAACACCACTGATATGGTTTAACCATAATTAAGGTTCCTTATTTGATCTGACTAATAATGTCAAGCGTATACAGCCCAGCACCATTTGACAGTAATGATATTAAATTGATTGCATTAAAAAAAGAAAGTGTAACATTTAAGACAATACAAATTATTCATTTGAGCTTATGAAGAATAACTGCCTGTTTGCACATAAAGCCAAGTTTTAATGAAGTGTTAATTCATATGGACTTGACTTAAGTATAATTAACTATAAATAACATATTCAGCACTCCTTTGCCTGTGGTTTTTGCCCTTACCACAAGGGGGCATGCTTACATCTGATGTAAATGGAGTTTGCCCTGAAGTCTCAATTTTTAATTTATTGACAGATCCCTCACTAACATATGAACATATGCCGTCATTAATGTCTTAACTATAATCAAATAATCTCTCCCAGTGAAAGTATAGTAAACTACACAATAAGAGCCTGAAAGAGTTAAAAAATCCACTGTCAAACAGAATTACAAAAAAAATAAAAACTGCTCAGCAACATCCACAACACAATTTCTGAAGCACTCCTCAGTTATTCAATTTCCCACTGGGATTAATAAAGTTCTTGATGATTGATGAAACTTTTTAGAAGTTTCATTCCTAAATACATGCCAAAAAAATCAAAACAGTCAAAAACATTTCCAGACAAATTAGCGAAAGATTTTCTTTCCTGGAAGTAAAATAAACTGTACAGTTTAAAGTGTTTTTTAAAGTGTTTACACTTCAGCTCAAAAGTAATGACTTGCTATCCTTTCACTATTGAAGAACCTGTTTCATTGAAGCCTCCTGTCTAAACACACATTATAAATAGTGACCTCCACACAGCAGTAACGGAAATTAAATTCAACTGGCATAAAGACAAGAACTTTTCAAGCATCAAAAAAACTTTCAGTTTATTTAAATTTACCCTGGCAGGTAGGTTGAATTTATTAGGCTTTCTGTAAACTAACTAAATTTCAGAAAAAAAACAAAGAACCTTCTTTCTGTGTACACGCATGTGCATTCTGTCTCTACAAATCCCCTGCTGTGTCTTTATGTAAGTGATGTAGGGCTTTGGACATACATTGTGGCAGATGAAAACCAATCACAAAAAGATACATAGCAAGGCTAGGCTAGGCAAGATCAAATGACGATGGAAAAAAATGGATGAATGAAAGAGGTGTTCCAGTGGATGAAAAGCAAAAGAACAGCTTCTATTTAAAGAAAAAAAAAAGCAATAAACCTCTCATGTAATGTCTGCTATGTCTATACTGGCATCCCCTAGCATGATTTATCCCTATGTATGCGAGTGAGAATGTGTGTCTAAAGGTATGTGTCGAATAGCATGCTTGTGTGTGGCATGAGCAAAAGACTGTGTCATTCTCAGTGTGGGGTGTATCAGTCACTGTAGAGCAGCTATTGAAACTATTTAAGAAGAGAAAAGTCATTTATAGCCCCAATCTAATGTCCATTTTAGACACCTGGATCATTACAGGCTTTTTCAGTCAAATCACTGACATTTTATCTTATCTTTATGGTCCTCAGGGTTTGTGTTTGTAGCTAAAGAGGAGTGAGGAGAATAAGAGAAGAAAAAGGTAAAAGACACGAGTAGAGGGGAGACAGGAACAAAGTAGGTGAGATAAATGAGAAAGGGGGAAGGAGTACTTTATGTTGAGCACAGGAGGAAGAGGTAGGGAGGGGACATGAAATGAAAAGGAAAAGAAAAAGGAGGGAGGGAGAGACAGGAGGAAAATGGCTGAGAAAAAAAGGAAACAGTGACACCCATGGTGGAAATACTCTGCAGCTGTGTCCCAATTCCAAACTACATACTGATTCTAGGCAGGATTTGATCTATTCTAACTGGAAAAGTGATAAAATAAAGGCTACTCAAAACAGTCAGGACTAATACTATAAAAACCCTTGATTTTTGAGTGTGCTATTGATGGACACAATTGCCCAACTATGCAATTTACAAAGAAAATAGAGGAGGAATTGTGGATGGTGGTGAAACGCCATAGAAAACAACAAATAACTCTATATGTGTAACTGGCAGTGGCATTTTAAAGTTGCACTTTGATTGACCTGAAATTGGGAGAGGGAAACAAGTTTCTCTACTTCTCTAGCTCTGTTTCTGCCTTTCACCAGGTACACTTTCTCTTAACTCTTGCTGTTTGTCTCTGCATTGGAAAGAACTTTAACAGGCTTTGCTATCTATCTATCTATCTATCTATCTATCTATCTATCTATCTATCTATCTATCTATCTATCTATCTATCTATCTATCTTCTTGGATGTCCCTTCTCCTAATATCTCTGCCTCCCCTCCATCTCTCACTCTATACACACACACCCTCCTCCTTCATTATCTGTCCTCACTCTTTACCCTAAATCTGCTCTTTCTCTGTCTTCTTCCCTTTTCTCTCGCTCCTTGTTTTTCTTTCTCCGTCCCTTTATGTCTACCTTTTCCTCCCTCTTTATTCATAACTCTCCCTCACCCTCTCTCACTCTGAAGTGTTTTACTAGCTGCTATCCTCTCTAATAATGTGTGTAGAGCTTATAAAACTTTTATTATGGGATATAAAATACGGTTGTCGTGAAGATTGTCAAGAGTAGGGGGGGGGGGGACTGGAACGTGATTGGAGCAGTAGATGAGATGAACAGGTTGAACCAAGGACATATGTAGGGGCAGGAAAGAGTAAACTGCGATTGCTTGTCATCCTCTAAAAGGTCTTTAAAGCTCCATTCGATAATTGTGGCGTAGTGCTCTGGGTTGTAACATGGTCAGCCGATGATGCCTTTATTAACACTGTGATTTATTACACTCAAACTATTTTGTTCACTTGGAAACTTTACAAGCTGAGCTTAAAAAGCCAATATGTGAACATGAATCTGGCATATATATTTACGTTGATGCCCTGAAGGCTTGTTTCACTCTGGTAATATTTGTAAACCCTCGAGTTAAATAGGTATATTGAAGTGTGAAATTAGCGTAAGCTCCATAAAAACATATCTGAGGTAAGGAAGCTCAATATTCTGAAGTCAACTAAATTCCAGGCTGGGTCTTTATCTCATCTGTAACTCATGCAGTCTAATCTAATTAAATTTAGGATTTCCATAGACTTTCCCCAGGCTTAGATGGTAAAGTTGATTCATTCCATCATATTTCTCACTCCATGGAACTGGCTCACTGTGACTGCTGACATGGTCTGTAACTCCCAGCACCCACCAAATCAAATATACTTTATCCACAATATTACTTTTTTCACAGCGATATAAACAAAAATTTAACTGCAGTACGCACCATTTAATTTGTGTCGTATGCTAATTTGTCCGACAGCAGGAATGATAATTAGCGGTCAAAACCACCCTGTGGATGCACTAAAACACAGCACAGAGTCCATAAAATACTCAAAAGTACTGGGTTCCTGATCCAGTACAACCTTTATGAGTGAGTACATGTATGTCTCTTATGAGTGGATAGTGGATAGGAGTTCAGCACTGCAAATTAACTTTTGTATGATGATACACCTGAGTTTAGTATAGTACTTTAGTTTGTAGATATTATATTTTCAGTCCCTTCTGCGTCTGAAATGTAAAGTCCCTTTCTTGTATCTCTTCTAATTTGTGTGAAATAAAATTTGAATAAAGGGGATCACAAATATGTAGAAACTGAAACTTAATTTACCACATCTGATACAATTATTTCCATTCATCTCATAAGTCTACAGTTTGTCTATTATAATCTACTGTGTGATGCACTGCTTGGAGTTTGCATGCACCTGTACATGTCTGCGTATGACTTACCGAATGTAGTTTTTGGTATAAACCACATGCGTTGCAGACGTAGCCTCCATTAGCGTTCTTCCTCCACAAGGATGTCTTGGTGGTCAGACAGTTTGCACAGAAAACCCCACTTCCTCTGCGCCGCTGTGGATGAAGAAAGACAGACAACATTAGAGAGTGAAGTAAAAATGTAGATTAATAAAGAAACTTTGGGAGGAAGAGAAATATACAAAGTTATAGAGAGAAAAGAAAGGGGAAAAAAGAGAAAATGTTGACTTATGTTTTGATACCTTTTGTTATTTTCACACTTCTCAAGAACAATGACTTGGTAGTAAGGTTAGGAGCGAGAGAGGGAAAGAAAACAGACTGGCTTGGTGGCAGGGCGATGATGTGCTCTCATTTATCATGCCTAATGGGAAATCCTATTGTTCTCCTCTACACTGATTTTCTCTGAGTAGAACAAGGTTAATAAAAACACCAAAATACACTTCAATGAAAAAGAAAATGATCTAGTCGAGCTGAAAAAATTGTGTGTGTTTTAAATATGTGAGTATGTGTCTCTGAGAGAGATCTCTTGTAAGAGAGAGGTGTGAGATACTGCGGTAATTTCGTCAAGCACTACTCGACAGACATGGAAACGAGATGAGTTATGCTTTCACCTTGTAGCATAAAGTGTTTCAGTGTTTATCTGAACGGCAGGAGGTACTTTATAGGCAAGTGTTTGACTTTTACTGTATTAGTGTGCATATTCTCATACACACACACACACACACACACACCTCTGCAGTTCATGGAGCAATGGTGCATAGCAAAGTAGTATGAGCAAGGAAGGGTGGGTGGGTGGGTGGGTGGGTTGGTGGGAGGGTTGAAAAGGCCAATTGTCGTGGCAACGTGCTCCATCACAGTAATGAGCCAATCACAACGTTTCTCCATCCCATTAAGTCTCTGGCCCCATTCACCACCTTTATGACCCTGAAAGGACAGCATACCTCATCTTTCTCCACCACGACTCTGTCTGTTTCTCTCTCTATCCAAGCATTTCTTTCTCTTTGTCTCTCCTTCAAGTTTTTACTCATCATTGCTGCTCGTGCAAACTACATTTTTTTTCCATCCAGTCTCCTCTTTGGTTCTCTAGTTTACTTTTTAGTGTGTTTTACTGATTTAAATACTAGAAAGATCAGCATGTAATTCATTTTCTTCTTCACTGAAAAAACACACTGTGTTGTGTGTATTTCTGTCTTTCACACCTCATTATTGAACTCACTATGGTTGTGTTAGCAAATGTCTGCATACAGTATGTGCTTATGGCAAAAATCCATAACACACATTCTGTGTATCAGCCATCTTTTCCCCTTCTCGCTTTCTCTTTTTTCTCAATATTATCCCAATCTGTTTCTCCCTCTCCCTCCATCATGGACTTTGTGTCCACCGGGACCTTCTCCTTTCAGCGCTGGCTTC